TACTCTTATTTTATTTACTTTATTTTATTTTATTTTGTTTCTTTTTTATTCTTCTTTACTATCTGTTTTCGTACACTACACTAGTTTTTACCTTTTATTTATTTATTTATTTTTTCCTATTTATAGATTCTTTTGTTGTTGTTCGGCTCGAGTCATTGTTTTATAGGTCGGTGACCTTTGATGACTCTCTCACTTTTCGTGAATAATAATTCATTCATTCATTCATGCACTAGTATACTCTGTTTTTCAAATATACCTCGTTTTCTTAAGCGTTTCCTTTTATTTTCAATTCGCTCTGAGAAAAACATTATAATCACAGGCCAATCATGAATATATGATACTTGAACCATTTTTTAGAAACATGGTTTTAGTGGTTTTGTTTGTAGCTTTATCTGTAGATGGAAGATATTTTGTCCTGGTTTCTCATAGTACAGGAGACTGCGGAAGTGAGCGAGTAGAATGTAAACAAAAATTAACCAGTTAATATTTAGATCGTTCTTGATTGAATATCTCTGGACAGGTTTAAGACTCTTAAAGTACAGTGTACGTTCTTTCAGATTATATTGGTTTCTGCTTTTAGATCTGAAAAAGATTAGAAATAAAGTCATCGCATTCGCCTCATATGGTTGATACTATAGAATTATCAACAGTTGAAGGTGAAAAACATGACATAAGTGCTGATGACACTGTCGGTACGGAAGAATCAACAGATAATAAAAAAGTGAAAGTTGATCTTCAAGGTTTTGTTAAAATTTTTGTACGAGGTACTTTATTTGAAATGGCCAAAATGACAATAAGTCGTTCACAATTTTTGTTACGATTTATCAATGACCCACCAAATTCAGAGGATGGATGTTATCATGTTGATCGTAATCCAAATATATTTGTATGTTTAATGGATTATTTATCACAAACTCGTGTACCAGATATTTTACCATGCAGTGTTCGGGATTTATATAGTGAAGCATTATTCTATGGTATTGATTTACCAGAGCACGATTGTTGGGGGACAACGTTATCGTACACTATGACGAGGATTAATATGTATGACATTCGTGGTCAATTAAAATCCTTTGCTGATAGGCACAGCATTTATGGTTTTGTTGAATGGAGACAGCGTATTTCACTTGTTCTTGAATTCCATTGTCATCGAACAATCGATTTAAATGTTGTTCACGAATACATGCTTGATCAGGCTACAAAACAAATATTTATGATACAATCATACAGTCAAAGAGATAATAGACTTCCACCAGCTCCCCTGTTTCAATGTCCAAAAACATGTAAGCATCATAAAGAAATAAAATTTCAAAAAGTAGTTAGACCTGCAGGCTCTGACAAAGAGAAAACTTTAGTTGTTGAAGGCGATAAGTTTTGGATACTAAAACAGGATCTGCTGCATTATTTGTTCAGATACTGACGTTAATTTTTTTTATAGAAATGCATTCTTGGAAAGAAAACCAAAGAGAAAATTGTTTAAAATTGTCCTTCTACTTTTTCTTTATTGTAGTTAAACAAGATAAAAGCTCGAAATCTCCTCCAAAAATCCCATCGTCTTCACCTTCTTCAAGTGATTCGTGTTCAGAATCGGCCAAGGAATTATTAAAACAATTAACAGTTGAAGATGTTAAAACATGGCTTCAAAAAACAATGTTTCATCGTTTAGCTGAAACATGGTTTAGAAACAACGTGAATGGTAAAGAATTACTTGAGATAAGCAAGACGGGACGTTTGACAAATTGTACATTCATGTTATCTGGATATGAATTAATACAATTTAGAGATATTTTAAATCGTTTTGGTTTCGAACTAGAACTTGACATTAGTGTGGACAAAGTGTCTAAAGACGAATTGACGAATCGCAATTTTTGGGCGTAAAAATGATGCAACAATTCGCATTTTACCATTGTTTTGCGAATTCGTAGCGAATTCGTAATCTAATGCGAACTGACAAAAATGATCAAAACCGAACCTTTTTCAGATTTTTACCACGTAAAACAGCGGAGAAATCTTAAAATTACACAATGCTACAAAGACAAAAAACGATTTAGACAAAAGAAAGAAGAAAAGAAAAGCAGATTTTTGGTGTTTTTAGGAAAATGCTTATAACGTTTGATTGGAATACCGCCGCACAGAGCTCAGCAACATCTCACTTTGAAGAAAACGCTTTTCTCTATATGAATAAATGTTTGAAAAAATTTTGACTGTTCAACACACGTGTGAATGAATTTTGCGAAGTGAACAATGGTGAATTACGATTTCTAGTGCTCAATCTTAAAAAATGCATAGCTCCAAAAGGAAAGGTCAGAGAGAGGTGAGTGACATCTCATTTTGTAGAGGGCACTTAACTGTATATTGTGGCATATTTAATTTAAAAATTGAAAGTCTTAATAGCAGAGAGGGTGAGAAGCATTCTTTAACAAATTCAATTTTCAATTTTGATCCCAGTTAACGGATGGTAAAGAAAATTTTGTTTTACTGACATATTAGCTCTAATCAATGGGTCTTTTTAGTCGAAGTCACATCACTATCAGATGGTTAATCCTGTGCATTTTGAAGCCTACAACTATGACCTGTACAATACTAGGGTTAGATTTCCAAACTTGTAATGTCGTTTTTGATGAGCCAGAAACACTTTAAGATAACAAAAAAAGCTTTTCCAATAAAAGTCGAGCAGTCATCTTTATTAATTATTTTTATATATAGTGATGTACAAAAATATCTGCTCTTTCGAATGGCGTTTGAACTGGTTCATTCCCTAGCATCAACAGTAAAAAACATATAATAGAGCAAATTATCAATCAAGAAATGCTAGGTGAAACAATTTTAGCAAATCGAAATCCAACAAGCCTTTTAGAAACAGAAAAACAATTATTATCCCTCGTTCAAGATGAACAACGATCTTTATCAACATATAATATGAGAGTTCTAGAATTATCTTTCAATTTATATGATTCTTTCGTTGAATACAAGTTAATTGTTATGAAAATTTTCGAATGTCTTTCAGGTTATTTAAATCCATTACAAACTAGGTTTATTCTCGATCCTATACATGATAATGCATTAAGTAAGGCTGTGATCGATGTTTTAAAGGCATTGACTCACTTTAAAAAATCTTTTCCAACTGAAACATTGAATATTTTAATTGATTTTGCATCTGAAAATAAAAATCAAACATTAAGAGATACT